AAAAAAACTGTCAAAGTTTTTTTTTTCTCATGCACTGTGTGCTGCAGGATTTTTTTTATACCGTGCACACTGACCACATAGACCCATTCTTTCATATGGAGGCCTACCAGCTTTCTCCCACTAGATTTGAGGGCGCTAGAATTTAGGCGTACTAGTACGTCAAAAACCCTGGGTCGTAAGCCGTACTAGTACGCCAAAAACCCTCAAAGGGTTAATTAACCCTTTGGGGGTCGGCCAAATTTCAAAAAGAAAAAAAAAAATTCTTATGAAAAGATAAGAGAATCCTTTCCCGATCATAATGACACCAAAAGTATGAAATTTGATGGAAAACTTACGTAATTATGCTCTCGCGAAATTAGCGGTCTCGATGGTGTTTACGCATCGGCGATTTTGCCCACTTTGAGCCCTATTTTTGGCCAATTCCAGTGTACTAGTCGACAGAAATCATAACTATTTCGCTAGAACTCCATTTTTTCTATCGAATGAGTACAAGAAACCACCCATTTACTGATTTCAACTATCCAACGAAGTGTTCAGAATTTAGCAGTTTTGCCAATTTCACACAAATTTTAAAAGATGCCAATTTCCGAATAGGGTCCAGAATAAACAAGAAAGACATTCCTGGCACTAAAATAACAAGTTCTCTGTTCGTTAGTCACATCCCCAGGCCCGTTTTATATTTCTTTGGCTTTCCACTTTGGATTTTTATTCTTACAAAAAAATAAGATTTACTGTTATGCAGACTACTGCATTAGTGTAGAAATGGTATAAATAATATCAGCGCACTTGTGAAAGAATATTAGACTCGCCAGTTGATGTGTATTGGACGCTTGGCATGATTTATTTACTTTTGAACTTTGGTAAATATCAAACATTTTTGCTACTTTGAGCTCAGTTTCAAGGTACTTTTCATTGTAAAACCAGTCAAAATCATCTCAATTTCTGTAATATGTCTTCCATTCTATAAAATGAGACCAAGAAAACTAGAATACAACTATAAATACCATACAAAAATACATTGCAAAGTCGCTGTTTTAATCCAAAAACACGGTCAACGTTTTTTTTTTTCTCATTACGCACTGTGTGCTGCAGGATTTTTTTTATACTGCGCACTCTGACCACATAAGACCCATTCTTTCATATGTAGGCCTACCAATTATCTTTATTCCATCAGTCCCATCTGCTTTACCCCTTTTCATTCTTCTCATCTGCACATCTAATGTTTTAAGTACTCTTAGGCTTTTCCTTTGTTATAACAAAATTAATTGGTGCACTTTTCTTGGTTTTCTGCCCAATCCACTTGCCAAGTAATTTTTTCACATTATCTAGCTTTTGTGACTTGTGTGTCCTTCTCACAAACTGGGCTACTCATTGCTCAAGTTTGTATCTTCGCCTAAATTTTTCAGTTGTACAAACTAATGCTACATATTGCTTTGCTGTCTTCACATGTACACTGCAAGTTTTATTTTTTTTTATAACTAAAACTTTCATGCTTGTGTTTCTTTGCACTTCCAGCATCGCTTGCATTCCTCTTTGGTGCTGTGGTATTATTCAGAGATGAGTTGGGATGCTGAAAAAAAAAAAAATCAGTCCACTAACTCGGTCTAAGTATGGTATGGGACTAATCCTCTTCCATAAGACTGCAGGCTGATTGTGAGACATAGGGAAGACCACCAGCATCATGCCATATTTTTCCCTAAATTCTATTCTAAATGATAAATATGGCATGCTCATCAAAAATGCTGCAATTTTTCAGTGTTAAGACAAAACTTTCTCTAATAGATCACACAAAATTGATACTTTATTTTTGGATCAACTGATAGGTAATGAATATGGTAAGCCTAGCACGAGTATCTACGGTACACATATTTACAGCAAAAATACGTGCATATCACAATTTGTATTTGCTAAAAAAAATACAAGAGACAATGCTGTGATTGGAACAATACGCATATAACCTTCACATAGGAGGCTGAAACTTGTGATGGTGTTTCTGTCCGACTTGAACCATTAACTAGATAATAGCCCATGTTGGACCTGTCATGAGTTTCTCTTACAACAGGGTTATTGTGTCAAACTCATTCCAATAACTATTAAAGAGGTTCTTTATACATTGGACCCCCGGTTCACGATATTAATCCGTTCCTGAGAGCGCCTCGTAAACCAAAATTATCAGAAAGCGAATCAATTTTGCCCATAAGAAATAATAGAAATCAAATTAATCCGTGCAAGACGCCCAAAAGTATGAAAAAAAAAACATTTACCACGTGAAATATTAAGTTTAATAGAATAGAATAATTACAATAACAATAGAATAATTGACACTTACCTTTAATGAAGATCTGGTGATGATTGATGGGATGGGAGGAGGGGAGAGTGTCGAACTTATTGTTTAGAAGGGGAATCCCCTTCCATTAGGACTTTTTGGTCCGAACTGACAGCCTCACCATGCCTAATCACACTATGTATGCCACTACGATTTTTAAATCTTTCAAACCAACTTTTGCTGGCCTTAAATTCACTCGCATCACCACTAGTTGCAGGCAATTTCTTTACCAAATCATCATGCAACTGCCTAGCCTTTTCACAAATGATCGCTTGAGAGATGCTATCTCATGCTATCTGTTTTTCATTTATCCACACCAGTAACAGTCTCTCAACATTTTCTAACACTTGCGGTTGCTGTTTCGTAATCACAGTTGCACCTTTTGCAAGAACAGCTTCCTTGATTGCCGTTTTCCTGCTCACTATAGTAGAGATGGTTGATTGGGGTTTACCATACAACGTGGCCAGCTCCGACACACGCACTCCACTTTCGTACTTTGCAATTATCTCTTTCTTCATTTCAATAGTCATTAGCACCCTTGGTCTCGAAGGGTTGGCACTAGAAACTTTCTTGGGGCCCATGGTGACTTATTTTGCAGAAACAAGCACCAAAAACAGTGATAATATGGAATGTACCGAATGTATCCTTAGATGCGTGCACACTGGCTGGCTTGTAAACACAGGCACACACGGGGCAGTTCAGGCCACACGTGGACATGTCTCGTAGAAATCGCATCGCATACCGGGTTTTGTAAAGGGAACCGAGGCAAATTTTTTGCGATATAATGCATCGGATACCGGATTTATCTGATACCAATAGCATTGCGAACTGGGGGTCCACTGTATTAAGAAGAAGAATAATAATAATAAAGATGGAGGGAGGGGGTAAAAGAGGTTTTGTTGGCAAGAAACTTGGACATGCAGCAGTCATGTGTGAGTGTGTTATAGGAGTGAATGGAGATGAATGGTTTTTAGGACCTGACAAGCTGTTGGAGTGTGAGCAGGGTAATATTTTGTGAAGGGATTCAAGGAAACTTGTTAGTCGGACTCGAGTCCTGGAGGTGGGAAGTATAATGCCTGCAATTTAAGAAGAGGGGTTTTGTATATTAGCTTTTTGGAGTAACATCTAAACTATTGTATCTGAGTGCCTCTGCACAGACAGTGATTGTGTGTGTGTGTGTGTGTGTGTGTGTGTACTCACCTAATTGTGGTTGCAGGGGTCGAGACTCAGCTCCTGGCCCCGCCTCTTCACTGATCGCTACTGGGTCCTCTCTCTGCTTCCTGAGCTTTGTCATACCTCTTCTTAAAACTATGTATGGTTCCTGCCTCCACTACTTCACTTGCTAGGCTATTCCACTTGCTGACAACTCTATGACTGAAGAAATACTTCCTAACGTCCCTGTGACTCGTCTGGGTCTTCAGCTTCCAGTTGTGACCCCTTGTCCCTGTGTCCCCTCTCTGGAACATCCTATCTCTGTCCACCTTGTCTATTCCCCGCAGTATCTTTTATGTCGTTATCATGTCTCCCCTGACCCTTCTGTCCTCCAGTGTTGTCAGTCCGATTTCCCTTAACCTTTCCTCGTACGACATTCCCTTGAGCTCTGGGACTAGCCTTGTTGCAAACCTTTGTACTTTCTCTAACTTGACATGCTTGACCAGGTGTGGGTTCCAGACTGGTGCTGCATACTCCAGTATGGGCCTAACATACACAGTGTACAGTGTCTTGAACGATTCCTTATTAAGGTATCGGAACGCTATTCTCAGGTTTGCTAGGCGCCCGTATGCTGCAGCAGTTATTTGGTTGATGTGTGCCTCCGGTGATGTGCTCGGTGTTATGGTCACCCCAAGGTCTTTCTCCCTGAGTGAGGTCTGTAGTCTTTGTCCACCTAGCCTATACTCTGTCTGCTGTCTTCTTTGTCCCTCCCCAATCTTCATGACTTTGCATTTGGCTGGATTGAATTCGAGAAGCCAGTTACTGGACCACATGTCCAGCCTGTCCAGGTCTCTTTGCAGTCCTGCCTTATCCTCGTCCGATTTAATTCTTCTCATCAACTTCACGTCATCTGCGAACAGGGACACTTCAGAGTCTATTCCTTCCATCATGTCGTTCACATATATCAAAAATAGCACTGGTCCTAGAACTGACCCCTGTGGGACCCCGCTCGTAACAGGCGCCCACTGTGTGTGTGTGTGTGTGTGCACTTTTTTTTTTTTTTTTTGTCACCCTGTCTCGGTGGGAGACTGCCAACATGTTGAAGAAAAATAACTCATGACACAAATGACCTGCAGGTATGGAGGAGTCTTCCTGGAGATTATTATGGTGTGGCCAGGTCCTTGACCAGGCCTCCTGATGGATCAGGGTGGTATTTTTAGTGCTTAACATTGGTGTATATCCGACATGAACTTTCAAAATATAAATGTAAGAGGCCAAGTAGGTACCAGTAACATTTGGCTCTAGACAATATAATTTCAAATTTTAGGTCATGCATAAAGAAAAATGGTTGGTTACCACTGGCCTAGATAGTAATTCAGTTCTTTGTGCAGTGCTCCTGTAGACTTTTTCATCTCTGTCTGAGATCTCTCCTATAATATTAAATGTGAGATTAATTTAAATATTTGTGCTTTTTTTCAGTAAATTTTATTAATAGTTTTAATATTTTCTTCTCCTACACTAGGCCAATGTTGCTGACTACACAGACAATCTATGGGCTACAGCATTTCAAGACCAAGCTGAGATGATGCTAGGAGTTACAGCTGCTGAACTTGGTTCAACGAGAGAGAATAATATTGAGGCCTTCCAAAATATCATAACAGCAGCAACATTCCAGAGTTATATGCTTAAGTTCAGAGTAAAAATGGAAACTTACAATGTAAGTTGTGTATGTCTTTTTCTTTAAAAGTACATTATTAGTGTGTTGGAATGAAAGACAGGATAGCTTTCTTGATTGTTGAAATGTAATTAAATATTTGTACTTGCAGGAGCAGAGCTATGCTGATGCCCTCTTATCTTCATTAATAAATTCAATGTACAATTTTTTTTTAATTATCAATGACTTTAGCACTTGTTACCTCCTCTTTTAATTCATTTCATTCTTTCGCCACTATTTGTAAAGAAAAATCTCTCAGTATCATTTCAGCTCTAGTTTTTTTTTTAATTTATGTTTGTGGCCTCTTGTTATCCCTGTTGAACATACTGCTCCTAAAACTTTAATTCTTTCATATCATTTTATAACCTTGTATGTTATCAAATCTTCTCTTTTCCTTCTTTCAGCCTTTCATTATAACTCATTGTTAAGTTCTGGATTCCATTTTATAGCTCATCTTTCAATGTACGTCAAATTCGCCTTTATGCCACTTTTCTAGAGTAAATTTCAGTTCAGCGAACATCAATACGTCTGATGTTATGTCACTCAGCACTGTCACCTACATCATAATAAAGGGACATGAAATAAATAAATTTTTCCTTAAAAAATATTTAAAATAAAACACAAAAGTAACAAAAGATAAAAGAAGCTAAAGTATAATTTAAAATACAATAAAAACTCATTAAAAAGATAAAAAAAATGTTTACATATACAATAAAATATTTACATTGAAAAATTGTAAACAGATGTCTGCTATTACATAGTTTCACTGTCTTGCCGCGTGGCGGCGTTGCTGCCGTTCTCATTCAAAACAAAGTGTGATGTCATACGCATTTTTGCCCACACTGCAATTGTGTGCTTGCTTTGCTTTTCCCTTTTATTTTTGTGATTATTCTTTTACTGTGTCTGTGTTAGCCATGAATCATAAGAAGGATAGTGCTAGTGATTCCAAGTGTAAAGTGGTTACAAGAGTTATATTCTTTTGTGTGTTGTTTACGCTAATTGTAAGGTGTTTTACTCTATCATTTTTTTTTTTTTTTCAACAAGTCGGCCGTCTCCCACCTTTTATATTCCTTCACTGCTCTTAACCTCTTTTTTTTTTTCTCTCTCCATATACTCCTCCCTCTGTATCGCTATGCAAAAACCTCTTATAAGTGAACCTTTTCTCTCATATTATGCCCATTACCTCTTCTTTCCACCAATCACTCCTCTTTCCTCCCGCATCCACCCTCCTGTATTTACAAACTTCTGCATTATTGTAATAATTGTATAAATAATGTCAACCCATTTGTGACTGCGTATTAGAATAGCTAGTTGGACACTTATTGGAGGGTGGCATCATTTTTCTCCTCTTGAACATGGGCAAAAGTGAAGTCTCTGCATAATATTTACATCACACATTGCCCTCAGGCACGTCTCCACTGCCTCCAACCTCTCCTCACTTCAACCTTCATAACCCATGCCTCACACCTGTATAAGAGTATTGGTGCCACTTTATTCTCATACATTCCCCTTTTCGCCTCCATGGATAATGTTCTTTATCCACAGATGCCTCAGAGCACTGCCCTCCATTTTTTCCTTCATGAATTCTGTTGTTCACCTCATCTTTCATAGACCCATAGGTATACTTCCTCCGTGCTCCGTCCATCCAGTCTGATGTCCAATCTTCAATTACATAAATAATTTGTTACTTTCATCACCTTGCTTTTTCCTGTGTTCACTTTTCTTTTTTTTCTTTTACATCCCCTCCCAAATTCATCTGCCAACCTTTGCAACTTCTCAACAGAATATTCTAAAAGCAGTGTCATCAGCAAAAAGCAGCTGTAACTACTCCCACTTTGTCTTAGATTCTGCATATTTTACTCCCAAACCTCTCCCCAGCATCATAACATTAACTTTTTTTACAACCCTAACCATGGTCACAACATGCATTGCTCTCTGGCCTACCTTTACTGGAAAACAGTCTCCCTTTCTCCTACCTACCTACTATGCAAATTTACAGTTAGAGATTGTTTTTGTTTTTTTCAGGATGAGAGTCGTTTGAAGTATTCGGTGGTGTCATGCTCGAAATTGGATCCAAAGGAATACAATCTTCGTTTGATTTCAGAAATAAAGCAAATGTCTGGGTAGGCATAAGTAAATGGCTAGTTTACTTAATTGTTCTCATGAGACATATATCTCTTTAGTTCTGATTTCAGTAATTATGTAATGTTTAATAAATATTTTTAATGCTGTTGAAAGTTCAGAAATTTCAGTAACATGATTCTTTAGTAATATGTTTCTTTAGTAGCATGGTTCTTTATGAGTAAATATAAGCACTAGTTTGTGCTTCTTATTTTCATCCCAGTGATGAATTGTATGCACAGGCAGTGGCCCAATACAAAAGTTGATTGTTAATTTTGTAAATATTTGGTAGTGGATTATATTGCCTGTGCCAGTGTGCATATTAGACATTATTTGAGGCCAGCTTGTTATCGTCATTGAACTAATGTCATGTATCCCAGAATGTTTATATGGATGACTGATGGTGAATGCATTTTCTTTGGGTTACCCTCCCTAGGTGGGGCAACCATTAAGGTAAAAAAAAATGGTTTGTTTTTAGTTTACCATAAAAAGTAATTCTCTTTTGTTATTGTCATAACTTCAGAAACTAATAATTAAATACATTTTATCATTTAAAATTGTTTTATTATTGTTGCAGCTAATAAAATATGTTAATTGACCCTGAGACAAAGTCGGTGCCTAAATGTTGACACTTATACATGGTCTATATGAGCAAATATTAGAAATTTTCAGAAAAAAAAAAGGTAGATGTCTTGGAGAAAGGGCTAGAAAATGTATATGCACTAGTTGCCTGATCAGCCAAGCTGTGAGAGTGTAATCAGGTAGCAGCAGCAGCAGACTGACCAGTTGAACGTTCCTCAGGGAAGCCTTGTTGCAATGGTAGCACAAGTCAAAACTAAAAGCTAATGTGAGGCTAAAATGGAAAAAGTACATAATACTTTAAGGGGGGTGTCTTGATGTTGAAAGGTTCTGGATCCAAGGAATTGGAGGTCTTTCTTAGCCTGGATTATGGGCCACAAGCATCAACATCCCAGTTAACCAGGCAAATACCAGACGAGCTTGGCCGATGGCCGGGCTCTGGGAGTAGAAAAACTCTTGGAACTCATCAAAGGTAAAGATATCCCTCCATTACACTGTATGACCCCTGTGAGTTTAGCACTTTCCTGTGATCAAAATATACTGTTTTTGCTTGCCATGCTCACGACTGCATACTGTACCTTACCAGATAATAAATTTCTTCCCTATCAAGGGGTTCTTAGTAAATTTGAAGGGATGCTGTATCTAAGGATCAGCTCTGCCAAAAATGCTGACACATAAAAGTTGCTGATACATGGCAGAAGTGAAAATGAGGCCACATTACCAAAGGAGAAGAGTGACACCACAAGTTTATTGATGCTATCATACTAGTTCTGTCACTTGTACCACAGTTGCAAGTTTTATTTACTACTACTACTTAAATGGTTTATTTTTGTTGCCCAGACACATGTTCTAAAAAAAATGTCATGTTTAATTAAAAATATTACATAAAATACAAAAAGAAATAGAAAAAGGATAAAGATGGAGAAAATAAGAGGCGCTATTTCCTAATATTTTCCTGATGATCCATGTCACTCCACTTAGACCCACTGAACTTCACAGTCTGATGAAAGTGGTTCTGCTTTATTTATTTATTTTTTTTTTTTTTTTGAGGGGGGGGGGGATCAACTTGTCTAGCAAATATAGGCCCAAACCTGAATACCTCAAAACTTTAAGGGTCAACTTGTGTGGCATGCAAAGAGTATGTTACAATTTATTCGGTGTATGTCACACTCTCATATAGGTTGCCTCCCAACCAGTGAACCGGGTGCTAAGGGTTTAATGATAAATAGGGTATCTGTCACTAAATCAGTACCTTGGTTCATTGGCCAATCGCAGGTAAGCCCGCCAAAGCTGAAGCAATGTGGTTCATTTGAGGTAAGCATTAGCAGACTTGCCTAGCTGCTGGTTGAACACGGTGCACACTCTCTGGCTTCTGCTTTGCTTTCTGTCACCGTGTTGTACACTTATTATTCTATCTGGATGTATTGTACATACCTGTATGTATCTGGTGAAGGCAAATATACATTATAGTCTATTGTTGAGTCTTGTTTGCTCCAATTCCCATTGCAACCAGGTCTCACAGGTCATTCTTTACCTGTGTTCATAATAGGGGAGCTCTGTCCAGGAGCTGGAGCAAGAGCTGGTCTTGGTATTGCTCAGATTGCCTCGTTATTGCTTTTAGTATTGCCTGACAGTTTTGCTGCTGTGTGTGTATCCTGCAAGTTGTACTGTGCTATTGCTGCTAATTGTGTGCATTGCAAACGGTATTTTATAGTCGGTTATGCCACCACCATGGGTGAGGTGGTTAGTGTCTAAATATACTCCCCTAAATCTACCAAAACTATCTCTACAGCATTGTTGGCAAATTGCTCATTCCATTGGCATAGAATACCAACGAACTCTTACTGCTGCGTAGCTTCATGACTGTTCATACTAAATTAAAGGTTGAAGCAACTATGGTGCACCGAACAAGTATCTTCCACTACAGGAGCTATTAATTGCCAATCTTCGCTTAGGTTCCTTCATTATGTGGGAAGGCTAACACCAGAGCAATCAGAGTTGCAGTCTCGTAAAGCAGGTGGTGCACCAAGTGTTTCAAGGCGAGCCAGCTTCATTGGCACTTGAGTCAGCTAAACTCAATCTTGAAACATCCAGAGAGCAGCCAGCATTTGCTAAAGAGGAGTTTGATAGAGAGCAGACTGTTGGTGACAACTTCTCTGCGCAGAAGGCAGTGCCTTTAGTACCTTACTTTGTTGAGTCTGAACCTGATCAATTTTTCGGGGCATTTGAAAAAAAAGCTCGTGCACTGAGGTGGCTTGGGGAGCATTGGGCAGCACTGGTGCATACAGCATTATGCAGCAAAGTGCAGGAGTTCACAGTTGTTTTGGAAGATGAAGACTTTGCTGATTATCAGGTTGTTAAATCAACTGTTCTTGGAGCATATTGGTGTATTCCCGCCAAGTATAGGAAAGAGTTCAAATCAAATAAGCGTCAGCCAGGTCAATCCCATGTAGACTGGGGTAGCAGTTAAAGAATTTCACAAAGTGGTACAGGGCCAGTGGTGTTGCTAATTTCAGTGACCTTACACAGCTGCTTTTGGTGGATGACCTGCTGGAATCTGTTGGGGCAGTGGTTCGAGTTTTCCTTGATCATTCCTTGGCAACTGTATTAGAGGCATCCAAGCTTGCTGACATCTTCAAGGACAACCACTCCTTGTCATGAAGGGGCAGGCTGGAGGTGAACAACGACACCAGCCAAATAAGACCTGTGGTGACTAAAGACATCAGACCTTCGGTCAGCATGGTGAACAATGTCACAGTACACAGACTGGCATCAACTGCAAGGTCAACAGGTAGTCAAAGAGGAAGTATGTTTTTTTATGTCACAAACCCAGCCATATTAAAACTAGATGTCCCTGTGTGAAGTCTAATAAGCCCCAACCCTTAGGGAAAATAAACATCCTCCCTTTTGAGATGAACCAGAAGTAGTAGATGGTATGGCACGGCACCATACTATAGTACATGCCACATCTCCCTTCAGGAGAATGAAACACAAATTGAAGTGTATCCAATTTTTAGGGATACCCGGGCTTATTGTTCCCTTAGAGAGGGAGTACTTCCACTTTTTTGAAAAGACATCATTGCACTACGTTCTCTTAGCATTTGGAGGAGCTGTATTTTTCGTCCCCTCAAGGAAGGTTCCTTGACGCTGGTGAGGGGCTCTTGATCTACGAAATTGGATCTGTGTTCCAGTTCCCTGAATTAAGCCTGAATACTTAACACGTCCCCCCTCAGGTGCTGTATAATCCTACGGGTTTAGCACTTCCCCTTGATTATAATAACATATTTTCCGTCCCTTTACATAAGATACATGCGCAGAGTAAATATTATACAGTATATTTGACTAGGTGTGATAAATGATTTGAAAACTGACAACCAAGACACTTATGCAACACATGGGAATCTTTATTAAGGAAACGTTTTACCACACAGTGGCTTCATCAGCCCAGTACAATTCCAGGCTGAGGAATTGATTACCTCAAACTACTACTACTACTATTAACCCATTTCTAATTTGTATTGGACTGATAAAGCCACTGTGTGGCAAAACATTTCTTCAATAAAGATTCCCATATGTTGCATAAGTGTCTCAATTTTCAACTTGTCAGTTTTAACCCTTTCAAGGTCGAGAGGCCCTCTCCTAAACTTGTTCTCAGGGTTGAAAATTTTATGGAAAAAAAAAAATCTTATGAAATGATAGAGAATCTTTTTCCGATCATAATGACACCAAAAGTATGAAATTTGATGGAAAAATTACAGAATTATGCTCTCGTGAACTTAGCGGTCTCAACAATGTCTACACATCGGCGATTTCGCCCACTTTGTGCCCCGTTTTCGGCCAATTCTAATGTACTACCAGTCAACAAAAATCGTAACTATTTTGCTAGAACTCCACTTTTTCTATCGAATGAGCACAAGAAACCATCCATTTACCGATTTCAGCTATCCAATAAAGTGGTCAGAAATTGGCAATTTCACACAAATTTCAAAAGACACCAATTTCCAAATAGGGTCCAGAATAAACAAGACAGACATTCCTGGCACTAAAATAACATTTTCTCTGTTCATTAGTCACGTCTCAAGGCCCCTCTTACATTTCTGTTGCTTTCCACTTTGAATTTTTATTCTCAAAAAAAAAAAAAAAAAAAATCCCCTCAAGGGAGGTTCCTTGATGCTGGTGAGGGGCTCTTGATCTAGGGAATTGGATCTGTGCTCCAGTTCCCTGAATTGAGCCTGAATGCCTCCCATCCCCCCACATGCGCTGTATAATCCTACTGGTTTAGCACTTCCCCCATAATTATAATAATAATAATATAATAATAATAATAATAAAAAAAATAGATTTACTGTTATGCAGACTACTGTGTTAGTGTAGAAATGGCATAAATAATATCAGTGCACTTGTGAAAGAATATTAGACTCACCAGCTGACGTGTATTGGACGCATGGCATGATTTGTTTACTTTTGAACTTTGGCAAAAATCGAACATTTCTGCTACTTTGAACTCATTATCAAGGTACTCTTCATTGTGAAACCAATCAAAATCATCTCAGTTTCTGTAATATGTCTAACATTCTATAAAATGAAACCAGGAAAACTAGAATACAACCATAAATACCACACGAAAATGCACTGCAAAATCGCTGTTTTAAACCAAAAAAACAGTCGGATTTTTTTTTTTTTCATTTATGCACTGTCTTCAGGTTTTTTTTTTTATACTGTCCCATTGACCCCATAGACCATTTTTTCGTATGTGGGGCCTATTTTTTGCTAATTTAAAGGGCTAGAAAATTTAGTACTGTGGGCCCACCCAGATGCAAGCCTACTATACGGCACCGACCTAAAAAGGGTTAAATCAATTATCACATATGTCGGGGACACTGCGCATAGGGGATTTTGAAAAAAGGAAATTTCTTCAACACTTGTTCAACCTTTCTCGAAGACTTTCCCCAAAATGGATGTTCTACTGTGATCCCAT